AAGCTTCTGGAGTATCCTCGACGATACCGACGTGGTACACCGAATTCCTTCCAAAAAAGGACCATCCTCATCGATCTGCCTGAAGAGTACAAAATGATCGTCGATCTGCCGGATTCCTTCCAAACATTGTTCACGTCAATTTTATTTGTTTCAGATTACGAACCCGTCGTCGGCTGGTCGGCCGCCGCTGTCCAAGAGGAAGTGCAGAACTGAACTTCATCATCTTGTACTCTTCAGGAAAATCTTCATCCAAAGAAGGACCATCGTCGTCGATTTCACTGCTTGTACCCAAAAACCCATTGTTCACGTCAATCTGCTGGATTCCTTCATCATCGTCTTGTACTCTGATTTCGGGTCGATCTGACCATCTTTGTCGATTTCACTGCTTATGCCCAAGAACCCATTGTTCACGTCGATCTGTTCGATTCCTTCATCATCGTCTTGTACTCTGTTTTCGGGTCGATCTGACGATGCCGACGTGGTACACCGAACTGTCGGATTGACGACCGTCTTGTGCCCATTGTTCATGTCGATCTGGGGTTTGCAATTGGAGAACATGACCCTCACTGGCGATGTCGATGTCGATTCCCTTCTCCTCCTGCCCCACCTCCGCTCTATCATCTTCATGAACAACAATTTTGAAGGTGGATAACCAGATTTCAAGAAACTTGGATCCCTCAAGTCCTTGTTCTTGTCTCATAACCATTTCTCGGGTCAGATTCCGGACGATGCGTTTACGGGGATGGGTTCTCTGAAGAAGTTGTATTTGTCTCACAACGAGCTTACCGGCACCATTCCTTCATCGGTTGCCCATCCCAACAAGCTTCTGGAGTATCCTCGACGATACCGACGTGGTACACCGAATTCCTTCCAAAAAAGGACCATCCTCATCGATCTGCCTGAAGAGTACAAAATGATCGTCGATCTGCCAGATTCCTTCCAAACATTGTTCACGTCGATTTTATTTGTTTCAGATTACGAACCTGTCGTTGGCTGGTCGGCCGCCGCCGTCCAAGAGGAAGTGCAGTTCAAGATGCCTACAAACTAATTGTTGTTATAATTCCCATCATCAAATAAGAAACTATTAAATTAAAAAAGGTAGGGTTCATTATTCACATCATCAAATAAGAAACTAATTGTTGTTACTAATGGAATACATTATCACACCTACACCCGCTCCACCAAACGTGGGATTACATATAAAAAAACGAAAACATAACAGCCCATAATTGATGTGAGGGCATATTTGTCCCTCACATAACAATGTAATTCAAAAAAGGAGTTATCAGTAAGATATCTCTACTATCATGGACTGCCCAATCAAACAAAATATTCGTGGGACCAAATGGAATACAATTTCGCCATAGGGGACTTTCTGATAAATTCCCCTATTTTGTAATACAGATAAATTAAAAAGTCAAAATATCCCAATTATTTATTACTTTAATAAATTTATCACTACCATTACTAGCACTAAATGATCATTTCAGATTACAAAACAAATCTAAAAAATTTCAAATCATTATCAAAATGATGGACAAATATGTATAAAAAAAACTAAAAACTTATAAATAAAGAAGTTTAACGGAACCTATTGTTAATTATCCTTAAAATGAATCATTTGCTCAATACCAAGAAAAATCATATGGCATAAAAAAAGAAAAAAAAATCATATAATTTAGGACCAAGGTAGGGGTTTTTTTTTTTTTAAGAATCAAACTGAGAAAATTATAATTTTGCCGGTTATATATACAAAATTTGAATGTAGAAAGTTATCGGACTCATGTTGGCCATTTTCATATGTTTAATGATGAGTTTTATTTTGTTTTAAAAATGATAAGATCTCAATTTGTCATATTATTATATAATTATAGGGCGAATTACACTTATAATTTGGGACGTGTATCATTTTGATCTCTAATTTTTCAGTTGTGATATATTTGATATTGAATTTTGAATCTTATTCCAAACAAGCACAATCAAAGATAATTCCTTTGCAAACGGTCTATTTCAAGGGCAAAGTTGTCATATAACTTATTTTGCATTGGTTAACTTTTATGTTGTTTGAAATGCAATGTTTTTATTTATTTTTTATTTTTTTAATGAATAATGTTGAAACTTTCTTAATTATAAAGATCTACTTGGTTTGGTTTTCAGAATCTATTTTCATAAATTTTTTCTAACAATCTAAAAATTAAGTTGGGGAAAAAAAATTTAAAAACACATCATTTTTATATAATTTTATCTTTTGGAAGGATAGAAATAATTTTTTATATTTATTTTCATTAAATTAGCTTTTATTTTTTTTAAAAATCAAACATGACGACAATTTTGATGTAATTATTAAACCAATACATTAAATCAAAAAATTTAAACTAAAAACATTTCATATATTAAACATATCGATTACACATTAAAAGCCTAATGACCATTCCTTACTTGATAACTATCCAAAAACGATGGTGCTATATGCAAAAACTAGTGTACTAATTTTAATTATGACATTATTATTGACCCCACTTATTATAAGAATTACAAATACCAAAAACCTCTTAAATTATGCCACATCATTAATTAGTACATTAGTTAGTATATTAATTGGTGTATATAGCATTATTCATCCACAAAATATCTGTTAACCACAAATATTGGTGTAATTGGTGTGTTACATGATAACCGTTTAAAATTATCAACAAAAATAATCACTCATTACATGATCATCATCCAAATATAAATAAAAATTAATTTGGTAAAAAAATATAAATATAAAAAATTTATTATTTTTATATAATTTTATCTTTGGTGGGTATAAATAATTTTTAAAAATTTAAAAATAATTTTTTGACATTTATTTTTGTCAAACTAATTTAGATTTTATCAAATTGATTATTTTGCTCTTGAAATGTAATAACAGTGTTTGCAATTGTCCTTATTTGGAATGAGATTCAAAATTCAGGGTTAAATGTATCACAATAGAAAAGTCAGGGACTAAAGTGACCCAAGCCCCAAACCATAAAGACTGTTAGTGTAATTTGTCCATAATTATAACATATAAAAGTTTTATAGACTAATTTTTTTTTATATTTTTAAAAGTGAAAATTTTATTATAAAAAATATTAAGAGATTAGTTTCAATCGTTGTGTGAGTTGTCAGTAAAAGGGGTCATGAAAAATTAAAATCTTGTTACAAAAAATATTAAGAGGCCAATTTCGTGAGAGTGATCAGTCAAATTGAAAAAGAAATAATTTAAATATATCTAATAAATATATTTTTAGGACAATAATTTTGTGTCAAAAAAGGTTTATTTTTTAGATGAAATTTTAATCTCAAAATAATAATAATTCATTATTAAATGTCTAATTTAATCTCTAAAAATAAAATAATAAATGAAATAATGACATTTTTTACAATTAAGATATTTGATTCTTAAAAGATGATTTCATTTTTAAATTATTGTATATAAAATCTTATTTTGTTGTAGTATATATCAAAATAATATTTATATAGTATTGCTCTTCCAATATTAGTGCCAAAGTGATATACAAATATACAAAATATATATATAAAAAATCATACATAATGACTTGGTTGGGTTGGAATCAATTTAGAACAAAAAGGACATTAAAGTATTGGGAAATTTTATTATACATCTATTTAAAAAGGTGTATTATATATATCTTTAATTATGTCATTTTTTTATTTAGTTATTATTAATTTTATTTTTTAATTATAACATTATTTTAGTTTGACTCATGAGTTCTTTAATTATGTTCTATGTTTTGTTTAATTATGATATATTTTCTTTTTTTAATTATGACTCAAAAAATTAAAATTATTTAATTTTTTTTAGTTAAAAGATATATATGGTATACACCCTTTAAAGGATGTACGCCATAATATTTTTCTAAAGTATTTTAAATTATGAAAATAATATGCCCGCATCATATTTTTTTTTGTGTGTAAAATTCTATATGAAAAAATATACTATAATGGCCTCTATTTTTTTTTTGTTAAAAAAAATTATTTGAAAGGCAATACAAAGAAATCCACAATCATAATTTAGGGATTTTTTTTTTAAAAATCCTTTATATTAAGATTTCATAAAATAAATGACATATAATATGTTTATAATAGTTGGGGTTCTTTAACATTTTCACAGAGAAAATTTGACTCAGAGAAAGTTGTGCCTGACTCAAAGAAATTTTGGCCTCAACACAAAAAAATTTTAATTTTCACAATTTTTTTTTGATATAATCACAGAAAAATTTTAAAAATTTTCTGGTATAATCATAGAGAAATTTCATTGAAGAATCTTAACTAATAAACAAATATCTTTGAACTCTTCTATTACACAACATTGGAGAGAGATGTTTTATTAATTTTTTTTCCATAATTTAAGGTTTATTTGGAAAGTGGTTTTTTTTAATAATTTTTTAATATTTTAATTAAAATACCCAATGAAAAATTAAAGTAATTTATAAATACACTTTATAAGATTTGTTTAAAATACGAATTGCCTTTATGACTTTAAAAATTATATTTCACCCTCTGAAGTTTATAATTTCATAATAGTTTCATAATTTCATAAAATCAATTAATAGTTTTTAATAATATCATAAATTTATGTCAATTAATAATTCATGTAATTTTATTATTATAAAATAAAACAGTTAAGAATTTTATTTTTACAATTAATTCTGTTAAATAAACAATTATGATAAGAATTTTAAGAGATGTATTTATAGACCTTGTTTGGGAAGTTAACTATTTTAGTATATTATTTTAATTATTAGCTATTTTAATAAGTTAAAATAATTATATTTGAGAAGATAATTAAATTTTTTTATAGTTAAATATGAGGTTTGTAAGAAAAAAATAAAATAATTATGAATTTGATATAACATTTTATCTTATTAATTATTTTAATTTATTTTATCTTTTAATACTATTTTAACTTAAAAAAAAAAACTCAAAATGCTTTTCCCAAACACCCCCATAATTTATCCAAAAGCTAAACGAAATTTGTAATTCGCTTTCTTTTGATAAGTATTGATTGATTGCGGATAAGAGTGTAGAGAAGCCATAATTTATCCAAAAGTTAATCGAAATTTGTAATTGGCTTTTTTTTTTATAAGTATTGATTGATGGGCTGCGGATGAGAGTGTACAGAGAAGCCACAACAAACAAGCAACAATGGCGGACCAGACTTCTACGACCCGTAAACCACCGGTGTGCGTCACAGGCGCAAACGGCTTCATAGGCACGTGGGTGGTCCGAACCCTACTCGACCACGGCTACACCACCATCCACGCCTCCATCTTCCCCGGCTCCGACGCCTCCCACCTCCTCAACCTCCCCGGCGCCGCCGGCCGCCTGGTGCTCCACGAGGCCGACATCCTCGACGCCACCGCCGTCTCGAAGGCGATAGAGGACTGCAAGGGCGGCGGCGTATTCCACGTGGCGTCACCATGCAGCCTGGAGGACCCCAAGGACCCACAGATGGAGCTGGTGGTTCCCGCCGTACAGGGCACCCTCAACGTCATCGCCGCAGCCAAGATTTGCGGCGTCAGGCGGGTGGTCCTGACCTCCTCGATCTCCGCCATGGTGCCAAACCCTAATTGGCCACGGGACAAGGTCTTCGATGAGTACTCATGGACCGACCTCGATTACTGCAGATCTCGCCAGGTTTCCCCTTTCTTTTGATTTCTCGTCATATTGTATATGTGATTTAATTATATGAGATTTTTATTTATTTATTTTTTTTTTTGTAGCTTTAATATGTCTTCTAGGATTGTTATGCGAACTGGTTTGTTTTTCATTAAGATTTTTGCTACATTTTTGAGGATTTAATCATATGCTATGCAACCTATGCCAGTGACTCGGGGACAATATTTTAAAAGTCGGACGGGTGAATCTAAAAAGGGATAAGTGGATTACTGGTTCAACTGGTTAAATCAGAATTGAACAGGGACATAATAAATATATTTAAATAAAAATATAAGTAATAAAATGATAAATTAAAAAAAATAAAAATATTAGGTTGCGTTTGGTAGAGTTTTGTAAATATTATTTGAGAGTATGAGTTGTATTTTAAGTTTGTGAGTTGTGGAATTATGATTTGAATGTAGAAAATATGTTTGGTTATGGTTTTTGAATAGAGTGTTGAATTGAGTATAGAATTGAGTTTTGAAAGTTTGATTTGACATGTGAAGTAAGAAAATTTGTTTGGTTATGAATTTTGGAAAGAGTTTTCAAAACTTAATTCAAATTGTTAGAACTCATAACAAAACACACTACTTTCATACTATTGAAAATTATTGAAAATTTTGATCAAAACTCATAACCAAACTCTATTTAAAATTCAATTTAAAAAATTTATTATCAATCAATTTTTTTTATTGAAAATACTACAAAGGAAATAATTTTTTTTCAAAATAAATATTCAAAAAATTTAAATCATAAATATTTAAATAATTTAAATAATCTAAAAAATTTTAAAAATAAAAAATAAATAAATATTCAAAAAATTTATTTGTAAAAATTTAAATAATTTAATATTCAAAAATTTTAAATAATTTAAAATGTTAATATTTTAAATTAAAAATAACTTATACTCAATCGTAACTAATAAATAAAACAAAACTCAATTAAGAAATTATTTTTAAAACTCATACCAAACACATAACTCGAAATTCATATTACTTTCACAACTCTACACTCAAATCGTAACCAAATACATAACAAAAAAATTAAATATTTAAAAATATTTTTATAAATAGAGTTTGAATTTATTTTTATAAAATATTTTAAAATTTAAAAAATTAAAATCGTAATATTTTGAATTAAATATTTAAAATATCAAAATTAAAAAACATCGTAACAATATTTAAATATTAAATATTTTCAAATCTTAACAAAATTAAAATATTTAAATATTTAAATATTTAAAAAATTAAAATATTGATTTGAATTTTGTTTTGAAAAAAGTTTTGAATTATGTGTTTGGTTATGAGTTTTGAAAAGTAATGATTATGTTTTGAATTGAGTTTTGAGAAATGGGTGTAGAATTATGATTTGAAAACTCAAAACAAACAACACACTCAAATCAATGGGTGAAACTATAATTCAAAACGCTTACCAAACGGAGCCTAAATTATCTTAAATATTTTTCTTAATATTTTTTTACTAAAAAATATATTAATATATCTTAAAATATTATTAATTTTAATTTTAGAAGAAAAAATCAAATATTCCCTCCATATGATTTTAATTCAAATAATTTGATTGAAAAAAGAGCAAAAATTTTGGAGGGATATTAAAATTTCAAGTCTCCCTCCAATAAATTTGATTGAATCCCACATGGATTTCTTGAGTTTTTTTGGAAGAATTTTTTTTTTATAAATAAGTATAGACTTTCACAATAATTCCAACTGATAAGAGGAGTCCTTGAAAGAGAGTTTTCAATTAAAATTTTCTTATATATATAATAAGAAAGAAAGAAAGAGAGAGAGAGAGAGAGAGAGAGGGGTTAGAAAATATCAAAAAGAAAGTTCAAAATTTTCAATTTCATCGATCCGGCGAACCGTCCCTGGGTCGACCGGTTCGGTGGTTCTCTCTAAATAGGCTGGTTTTTGGCTTCAAATGGTTTAAAGGGTATATTCGGATCGGATCCCCAACCGGTCGAACCTGCCAGTTCGGTCCGGTTTTCAAAGCCATGCTCGGTGAGTCCTTTTTAAACCAACTCCTTGATTGTGTATACAGAAAAGAAAATTTCTGTAAAAAATACGTATGGATTCAACCATAGATGAATTTTGTGATAAAAAAGAATTTCAAGCACTACATTAATAGACCACTAAGTGACTATGTATTTGAATAAAAATAAAGTTGGTGTATCTGGAAGGCCTAAAGTTTGTCATAATGAGCATATTTACTGATTGGGTGTGTGGAGCTTCCACATATAGAGATGTAACTTATGAGTCACCCCAAAGTAAGTTTTTGATTACTCTCAAGTATCAGTTGGTGACTTAGTTCTTCAAATTCATTACAAATAGTCTCCTCTACTTTGAATTTCACTGATTATCCCATTCAACTGCTGTCTGATTTGACTGTAAGATATGACACCGACAACAATTTGAAATTATGTGTCAAAACAGAATCGTACTTGACAGGCTTTTTTGGATATGACAGAAATGGTACCCCGTCTCAAAGACACTGGCAGAGAAAGGTGCCTGGGAATTTGCAGAGAAGCATGGATTTGATGTGGTGGCAATCCATCCTGCCACGTGTCTTGGTCCTCTCTTGCAACCAGGTTTGAATGCAAGCTGTGCCGTCCTGCAACAGCTGCTGCAAGGATCAAAGGATACCCAGGAATATCACTGGTTGGGGGTTGTGCATGTTAAAGACGTGGCAGAGGCACAAGTTTTGCTCTTTGAGACCCCAACTGCTTCTGGTAGATACCTTTGCACCAATGGCATTTATCAGTATGGTGATTTCGCTGAAAGAGTCTCCAAACTCTTTCTCGAGTTTCACTCCAGTTCACAGGTCTGTATTTACTGGTATTTTAAATATATAAGGCTTTGCAGTATTTCATGCCTCGATATAAATAATCACTCTTTTTTTCCCGCTACAGCAACATAGTTTTATGCTCATCTCTCTGATATTGTTGTTGTGGAAATACAGAATCTCGCAGTTTTATTAAGTACCTTCAAGGAAAAGTTGTGTAAGATGATGTGCTACAAGACCTAGAATCCTAAAATCCTAATTCAAATATGTGAACCTTAGTAGCAGGAAAAGCTTTTGTGGGGGCCTCACTCCTAGCTCCAGAATCTCGCTCTGGAACCTTGCCCCCACCCCCGCTCCCGCTCCTGCTCCCTACCTTAAATTCATCTATGGGGCCCTCACTCCCCCATACCTGGCTCTGCTCAAGCTTCGTGCAACTATGATTTGAACCATTGATTCTAGTACCCAATATATGATGTAATATCAATAAATCAAAATAAGGCTTTTATGTTTTGTGCATTTAGCTCTTGGAATGCACACACACAAACTACAGAAACTTGGCCCCCCCCACTTAGGCAGGGCAGGGTATTAGGGGTATAGAATAGAATTGAGCACTCTGCTGCTTGATATGAAGCAATGGCCTTGCCAAACACTCATGTTCTGTGAACTTTAGTTGCGTGAATTAAGTCTATCTTGCACCTGGACTTTTCTTGCTGCTAGCCCTTCTAAAAATAAAGACTTGAAAAAAAATCATTCCATGGTAAAAAATGTGGAATACGTAACAAATGCTTTTTATAATTGAAGGTGATTTTTGGGGACTGACCATGGTGAAACTTGAAAGTAGTAAACCTGTTTAGTTTTGTTTTCAAAATCTGTTCTGAAACAAAAATTAGTTCGATGAAAATAAGCACCAAAAAACATTTTTCAAAAGTTCAAAAATTATTTTTGCCTCAAAAAGAGAACCATATGAATAGATGTATTGATTTTTTTCACCAAACCAAGTTTTTAGTTTCTTTTTCGGAAACCAAACAGGGTGAATAAGTTCAGAAATGGTGATTAGATGACCCCACTTAGTTTATTGATCTTGCTCAATGTGGGGCACAGGTGTAGATGAGTTCAATTTTCTTGCTAGTAGCTACAATAATTTCTACATTCTTAGTCCTATCCTTTTATCATGTTTCCTTATCCTTTTCATGATTATTACTAATGGTGGTTCCACCCCTCAAAATTGGGAGCTTCTCTTGTTTTTGTTTGGTTTCTATACCTCTCATGCAATATTTTCTGATATCTGTAGGCCTGTTTCTATTTTAGCTTCTAAGAAGCTCCTCTTATTGGTCAAACAATGTCCATTCTTGTCAATCACCTCCTTGCCTTTATCTCAGCAATGGAGCAATTCCTTGTCAATAAAATTGTTATCTTCTATGCTTGTTTGTAGTATGCCGCTCTTTTTCAATTTCATTTTCCTTTTTCTTTTTAAATTTTTTTTTTATTATTATTATTTTTGGATTCTTTCAGTTTGGCTTTCCTGATGCTTTATGATTCAGATGCTCTCTTGGAGTCCTATTGAAGCATCTTATCTTTTATAGACACTTAGAAGATAGAGGAAAAAAACATATGCTGCTTTAGTCCAGTGTACATTAACTCAGTGTCATCAAGTTTGGTAATTTGTATATAAAGCTGTAGCAGTATATAATAATATTGAATAGCAAGAAATTTCTCTTGATACGGTGCGTCTCCTATGGTGACCTAAGCTTTGGTAATCTATGCAATTCATTGACCAAGTATTCTTTGCCTCTCCTGCCAAGTGTCTTTAAAAGGGTTTGGAATTTGCTGATGAATCTTGAGCAAGACCAAGTTATTAGTTATTATTTTTGGGACCAAATGTGGTCTTTGTTTCTTTTGCTTCTAGTTACCAGAGTAAGATGTCATATATTAAAAAACAAAAAAAGGTTACATAGCAATATGAATTATAGCCTTTTCTTGTTTTCCTCGGGCCTCTGGTCCCCAAAATTGGATAGATTAGGAAATGAGTTATTCACTTATGCATTGCATGTATTCTTCTATCTTTTTGAAAAAGAAAGTACTTGGTTAATTGCGATTATAATGATTCTATAATCTGCTCAGTAATTATATTCCAACAAGAAGTGTTGATTGGTACCACATACTATGAGAAAAGTGGTGTTGTCATGCTCAGTGAAAAAGGGACAAAAAAGAAAAAGAAAATAGTAAAGAACCAGAAAAAAAAAAAAAAAAAAGAAAAAGAAAATAGTAAAAAACCAAAAAAAAAAAAAAAAAAAAATCAAAAAAAGGAAGAAAAAACATCAATTGCTGAAACAAAAAGAGTAAATTGCAGTATGCGCATCACTTTCATATTTTCTTGGTTCATCTTTTTAGTTCTTCATATTTTTATCTATCTTTAGCTAAAATACTTTTCCTCTCTGTTTAATTGATATATTTCATTGTTTCATATTTTGCAATCTCTAAACCTTCCAACCAAATGCAGGTTTGAAGGGAAAACAAATCCGGGTTTGGTAGCGTGCGAAGACGCTGCAAAGAGATTGATTGATTTGGGACTAGTCTTTACTCCTGTTGAAGATGCTGTCCGTGACACTGTGGAAAGCCTTAGAGCCAAAGGCTTCTTGCAGCAGAAATAATCACAATCCCAAATCCGTTTGTCTTTAGAGCTACAATTTTCACAAATTTCATCTTTTCCTTTGTTTAATTTGGGATAATAATGCAGTGCAACAGAACATTTAGCAGGATTATGTCCATTTTATGGTTTGGTAAATAAATTTACAATAATTTTATGAATACAGAACGATTCAAAGAAAATAGTTGACTATACATATCAAATAGTGAGGCCTTATAACGATCTCATACCACATTGAAAGTTTGTATATGTGATTTTGTGTGTAATCTTCGGCAATTGTCTCCAAAGTATAGGTTGTTAGAAATTTAAGAATAAGCTGAAAATCAGCTTAAGCTGAAAGTTATAAGCTATAAGCTGTTTAGGCATAAGCTATAAACACTTTCCCACAGCTCTATCAAATAGGGCTAATAATGCAGTGCAACAGAACATTTAGCAGGATTATGTCCATTTTATGGTTTGGTAAATAAATTTACAATAATTTTATGAATACAGAACGATTCAAAGAAAATAGTTGACTATACATATCAAATAGTGAGGCCTTATAACGATCTCATACCACATTGAAAGTTTGTATATGTGATTTTGTGTGTAATCTTCAGCAATTGTCTCCAAAGTATAGGTTGTTAGAAAATGAGTCCGGCAATGTATATTAAGCTATTTAACACGTTTCCTGAGGTGCAATTCCGCCTTGCATATGAAATGGAAATTTCCATATAAAGAGAGAAGAGGAATGCAAACGGAGAGACTTGAAACCAAGAGACAAAGACTGCTCTCAATTTGAGTGTTGATATATGTTAGACCATCAATTGTTCCAAAGCTTAAAACTTTCGAGAAAATTGGTGACTTACATATATAAAACACCATTTTTACTAAATAATTTGGACTTGAGCATTTTCAGTTATGTTAGTAGATCAATTTTTTTAAAGTTATGAGGCATGACCAATGGTATCAGAGCCAACTCATTTACACAATCACATGGAGCTAATCATGGTTATTTGGTTAATTATGGACCTTTGTGACAATGCTACTTTGCATCTAACTTGGTTCAAGTATTTCATGACTTGAGCATTTTGAGTTATGTAGTAGACCTACTTTCTTTAGGTCATTTGGGCCTGTAGTGTAGACGGTGGAACGTTGCTCTACTCAGTACTCTACCTGTATTTTCTGTGATCGGTTTCTATATTTGGTAGAATTGTTATACCATTATGGTTTTTGTCTCCCCCACTACTGGTGGTGAGATATTTGATGTTGGCTTGTGTCCTTTAGCACTCCATACCCTGCATTTGAATGAGAATCAATAGAATAGGTCCAAAGCTCATGTTACAGTTGCAGAACACTGCATTAAATTATATGCTTCAAAGTGACACAATAAGTTTATTTTATTTATTTATTTATTCATTTTTAATATAAGTACAGAGAATGGAGATGAATGAATGAGCAAAGTACAACTGCTAATACTTTCCAAAGACCAGCCAAACCAATAGATTGGGACAAGGTTTGTCCATTGGCACGTGAGCGTGGGGACCGAACTGTTGTGATCGAGTGTGCTCTCTGTCACCCATGACCAGGCAAATATTAGGTGAATCATAAATTGAGAGTTTGCTAATTAAACTCTCTTGTTGCACTGATCTGGCTTTAGTTTTTAGTCTTTTTGCTCTTCAGATTTCCCTTTCTCTCTTGTTAAAAAAAAAGAAAGATTCTTTCCTTGTTAAAGAGCTCCAATGCACAAGGGGTGGGGAAGTTGATGCACATGGTGTGTTTGTGACTTTTCTTGAGAGAGAGAGAGAGAGAGAGAGAGGGATGTGAAGTTCTAATCATGGATGTGCTTCTGGCATTTACATGTGCTTCAATCACCTCTACCCACTTCATATAATTCTATACTTTCCATCTTCCCTCCAAAAACTCTCTCTATCTCTTGCTCACTCGCCCGCTCGCTCTTGTGTATATATATTCCTAATTTTCTAGCATTAAAAGAGGGCTTGAAAACAGCAGAGATGAGCAATAGTCCAGCAGCACCTTGCACTAGATCATGGTAGATATCACATTTTTGTGAGGTTCAATTGATTGTTATTCTAATTTGGCAATTGGGTTTTTGATTGTTGTTGTTGTTTTTTATGAAGGTCCATTAGTGAGGACTCATTGAGGAGGTACGTGTTCTATGCAAGTGAGAACTGTATTCAGGAGCTGTTGTCAGCTTCTGACGCAAACAGGGTCGGGAATGGGAATGATGGGTGGAAGGTAGTGACACTTGACAATGGAGTAGAGATATCAAAGCGCCGGTCTGGATCACTCCACACTTTTCGGAGCCGGTGGCTGTTAAGATCAGTCTCTCCCCAGCAATTCATTACTGTTGCCAATGCAATTGATGCTGCAAAGGTGAATTTCCAACTTTCTTATTATTATTTTCATTTTCACTAATTTTGTTTTTTATGTATTCGAGAACAAAAATAATGAAAAGTTAAAAGAACTCCTGGGTTTCATTTTTTGCAATTCAATTAATAATTCCTAAATTACAAATTTTTTTATGGACTTACATGTAGTTAAAAAATAAAAATCAACATCAAATTATAATTTCATCTTATTCATATCTTAATTTGAACAAATCACATCAATTTTCAAAAAATATACAATTACTCTATATCAAAACCATAACATAAAACAAAAATAAATTTTCTTATTTTTTGCCTTTTGTCTGTTTCAACACATCAAAGACAAGAACTTATGTCCTAGCATTCTCCATCAGGGAGTTTTTCTCTGTTTTCCAAAAAGTAAAATAAAATTTACTGCTTAAATTATTTCATGAAAAAAAAAGAAGGAAATACCCCATCTTGGATGGAAGTTGAATCGGATTGTTAATGCCAATGTCGTAATTATAAAAAACGTTTCGAAAAATTTGATATTCTTAACATTACCTAAAACCTAATTCCCGCATCATTATATATGCACATATTTATGTAAGCGAGAAAGTTTCATGTGTAACGGGTTATGTCTCACTTCCCTCTCACAGTCCGTGGCATGTTACATGAAAATTGAAATACCGCCTCTACGTAAACATATAATTTAATTTCCTTTTTTTTTCTTTTCTTTATTTTTTTTTTTGCAGCAATGGGACTCTGATTTGATGGAAGCTAGGTACATAAAAGATCTTGAAGACAACCTCAGCATAATCCGGCTAAGGTTCGGGGAGAACTCTAAGCCTCTGTTTCGAAACAGAGAGTTCATCGTCTATGAGCGGCGTGAAACCATGGATGATGGGACTCTGGTAATTAGTAATTTGAACTTAAAAACTGTGAGAATTTTACATTAATTTTTTATTGTTTTTTAAGTATTGAAATACCCACATTTTGTGACTGTAGGTGGTAGCAGTGGCTTCACTGCCTAAAGAAATAGCAGCTGGATTGCATCCAAGGCAAAACAATGCAATCAGAGGACTTTTGCTTCAGTCAGGATGGGTAGTTGAGAAGCTTGATGATGACTCTTGTATGGTCACCTATGTTGTTCAGGTAAGAGTGTCTTCAACCCTTCATCATATCTTTCATCAAATTTAAATTTGATGAAAATGGTACTCCAGTTATTCCATTAATTTGGTATCAAATTGAGAATGACTTAAGCTTTTCATCAAATTGAGGATGCCTGGAACTTCTCATTAAATTACTGTAGATAGTCGTTAATATAGGAGCACCAGACGACCGACTGATTGTCCGGTCAGTTGTTCCCTCAGGCATCCACTTCTTTGCAATTTACACTGGTTGGTTGACCGGCCGAACATCCTCCCGGTCGACCGGTGATTTAATAAAAATTCAGAATTCTCCGTTGAAACGCTCGATATCAGATCAAGCCTTTACTCAAATTTTTATTCAAATTTGATGAAAAAAAAGAGAAAGTTGGAAATACTCTAATTCAATTGCTATGCTTACCAACTTTAAAAGTAAACACAAAACACCACTTGTAAGCAAGCGTTAAAACCTTCAATTTAAAAGTAAACACAAATTACCAACTTGTAAGTAAGGGTTAAAACTTTCAATATTTTATTTTATTTTATTATTTATTTTTTAGGTAAAAGAAGACAATCTCAATGAACAAAGCTTGTGTCAGGCATGTGGTAGGTCAGACCTATCTACTCTTACTCCAAAGATGAACTTAGGGTTATTTTGGGAAGATAATTATAATTAATTTTTTAATTAAAAATTAATTATAAATTGATTATAATCAATTTTTTGTGTGAAAGGGAAGTGAGTTATAATCTGGAAAGTGAATTATAACCCACCTTCCGAAAGACGGAGCAAGTAGAGGTGATTGTCACCCTACAATTTCACTCAAAAATCATTAATTATTAATTATCTCTAAACTATGTTATAGGCCGATCCTCATTAATTTAAAAACAAATAAAATAAAATTTAAGTGGTTGTCCTTTCTACCTTCCTCTCTGTCTATACATGATAATTTAATATCATTTTTTTAAGAAAGGTGAATAAGTCCAACATGTCTGCAATCACTTAAATTTTTTAATTAAACCATGCATAGAATAAAAAATAATTAATCCACCACTTCACACGGACGCTGTTAATATAAAAAAAACCTTAACATGGAAACCCAAAAAAAAAAAAAAGTCTATTTATATATTTTGATGTTAGTTTTTACTTTTTATTTCAGTAAAAATTGAATATTCATCAATCCTAAATTAAAATTCTGAAACACTAACACAGTAATATTAATTCAATAAAGAGAGGAGGCAGTTTTTTATTTATTTATTTATATTTTATTTTATTTTATGAATGAGTTCTTTTTTTTTTCTTTTTTTCTTTTTTTTTGTGTGCAAGTTTTAAAAATATAGTAAGCTGATTTTATTTTATTTTATTTTTACATTGCAGTTGGATCCAGCAGGGTGGCTACCAAAGTGCTTTGTGAATCGACTGAATACAAAACTGGTCATGATCATTGAAAACCTTAGGAAATTAGTTCAAGGTTGTCCCACCAATGGTGGTGATACATGATGATTTACATGGTGTAATTTAAGGGAAATAAGGAAATGTGAGTAAGATTTTTATATATATAATTACAGCATCAATTTAAAAATTATCTATAATCTTGATAACCTCTCTCTCTCCCAAGTCAACTACCTCACTTGCACAGATCATGGCACCATTTACAAGGTTTTTTAAGATCAACCCCACATGTTATACAGTGGACAACATGATGATTCAAGGATCTCTTTTGTGGGATCCAACATTTCCAAAGCTCAGGCACTCGATTGAATAGTAATGATTATTAATTTATGTCATTATCTTTGGATCTTGCAATAGGATCATCCAAATTAAACTATTTATGTGGTTTTAGGGCTTTCTTTTAAAAGATGATAGATGGGCTAGTCTTTTTTTTTTTTTTTTTTTTTTTTGGGAGAAAGAATACTCACAATTATTACATAATATGAGAATTTCAAGATATGGAAATTTCAAGACATAATTCAACAACTGTGAATAAATTATTCAATGGAGCAAGTTTACATGGTGCCTCAGCTTAACAGTTATTGATTTGTATAGTGGAGATTATCACTTTTATGTTAGTGTTTTGAAAGATAATATAAGAAGTATCACTTATTGATAGGAGTACTTATTAATTTTTCACAATTGTGAGTATTTTCAGTTAAGAAGGAATTGAAAATTTTGAAACATATAATCTCGTGCCCAAATATTTTACATGCTTAGAATGAACTAAATCGAGAACCAATGACTGTTAATTGGACCTCAAAGTAATAAACTTATAAAGTAAATAGGGTTGTTATCAGGTTTATTAAGAAATCAAACCTTAGGCCTGGTTTGGAAACATGTTAATTTAGTAATTTTTTGGCTATTTGGTTAAAATATGAATTAAAAAAAAACTAGTATGTTTAGGATGACTTTTTACGAAAAGATATATAAAAAGTAGAAAGAAAAGAGAATCTTTGACTTTTTGGTATGAATTATTAACTTTTTAACTTTTTTAATAACTTTTTGACTTTTTAACTAAACCGGCCTATTACCAAATAAGACCTTAGTGAAAGGAGATTCCGTAAAGCAACATGGTCACACTAGCTTTCATTAAAAGTTAGAAAAGGCTAATCCGAAGTAGATTATTTTCTATATATTATAATCATTACATCACCACCAAATACTTTTTCCACCCCCATACAGTTTACACAACACAAAAATGGGCCACCATTGTCATTTTAGTTGCTTGATGTTTCTTGTGAACATGCTAGTGTCCAAACACCACCTGTTCACCATGTATGTATCACCACCTAAAAATACTTTTTTGCACAAATTATTATATTTATTTAGAGAGTGAATTGGGTTTCCTTTATTCTGAAATTTTTCTGATCTTGACTTGAAATTCTTATATTTGAAAATTTTCACTATATTATGTTGCTGAAAGTATGATGGATAGAGGATTGAGGAAATTTTAAGACAACAAATCTGAAGATGTTAGAGTATATCCTTGCCCTTAAAAGGACATAGAGAGATGAGTAATTTCTGTCCAAAAAAATCTTATGTCCCTTAACTTTAAATTTAGTAATAATTATTTGATCATGTATTGAGATTTTTTTACTTTCAGATTTTCAATTATTCAACGACTGTTAGTAAATGAAGATAAGAAAACAATTTTTTCGGACAGAAGATCCTTACGTGCTTTTAGTTATCATTATCTAACTAAAGAATGCAATGCCCTAAACCCAAATTACAAGTGTTATGCCCTAAACCCTAATTACAAGGCTTGTACTACTATTTACAATCCATTATGGGAGTATATTAATACACCGATATTACAATCCTAGAAAAGGAAATCCAAAAAATTGCTCAGATTTAACGTCAATATTCTAAATTCATTTAAAGTGTGGTTTCATATTAACAATTTTAAATGTGATTCATTTTATGATTAATCTTTTGAACTTTTCGATATTAATACATGTGATAGTCATGCATACACAACAAAAAGAAATAAATAAATAGTAGATAGGCATTTTGCATCCGTAAATGTTGCTTTATTTGTAATATTCCTATAAGCCAGAAAGCACAGGGGCTTCACAGAGGACATCTCACATGTGACTAGAAAGATATCTATAACTACCCAGAACAAGGGGTAGTTATAGATACAAGTAATAATATAATACTATGTCTTTTTATTTTTTTTAATTATTGTTCACTGTTCAAACTAAATATAATACTATGTCAAAGTTATAGATATAAGTCTATTGCTTTGTTTTATTATTTCAACCCATGGTAGAAGATGAGTTTTCTCAAGATCCCAACATGAGGACCCTCTTTAACTGTTTGAGAGCCACCTTCCCAACTGGCACTCACCAAATAATCCAAATCTATGATCAAATTCCTCTTCCAATTCATTCTTTTCATGACAATCATTTGCTTTGCTCTCATGGACTCTTAAATTGTGTTTGGATTAAGAATTTGAAAAGTAAAAAGAAAAATGTAAACGAAATACAAATACAACCTTAAAAATTTTGAAAGGGAAAAGGAAATGGAAAGAAAATTTAGATTATAAAATTCACATCTCCCTCACATTTTCCCTTTCCTTTTTGAAATTCTTAAATAAATTCATGATTCAGACACAGTCTTAAAGACTTCAATAGAGCAGAGAGCAAAAGCTTGTGATGAAAAATGAGATTGAAGATATTTTCACCAGAAATTGAGGTTCTATCTGAAATTCATGGGTGTGATGCAATGTCTCTTATATTTGGTGATCAATTAAATTGAGCAAAGTTTCTGTATCTGTAATAGCTGACTTTTGTTGATGAGCATTGTTAATTCAATCACCCAAATAGTGAGGCTTAACTTGATCATGGTTCCCTAAGCTTTTCCAATGAAAAATTCCCTTGCCTACTTGAGAATGCAAACTTTTGTTGAAATGGAATCTAGTCTTACTTTTGAATACAAAAAAGATCATTTTCATGTTTCAAACATATGACACGCAAGTCGAAAGCAACAGTTCTGGCCTAAAATTTCACAAGGGTTCTTGTTCTCCTCCCATGTATGTTAGTTTGTTATACATGTCAAAATGCAAATCTTGAACAAAGTCTGAATTTATTTTAGAACACATTAAGTTTTCATACTAAACATAAACACTCATTAGTTGGCTCAACTTGATTATGTGCACTACAAAAAAGCTACTTGATCTCAACTCAATTCAATTAAAACTAGTCTGTTATAAAATTAATATAAAAAATAAAATAAAAAAAGCTAGTGCGTATCATATAGATCAAGACTTGTACCTTGATTCTTTACTCATAACCTACTAGGAAGAATTGCATAAAATCCTTTGATAAGCTTCCTCCTGTTTATTTCTCAGTGGTATTCGATGATAAAGACAATTCCTCTGAAATTTGGAGATCAACTCAAAAGTAAATAAGTCAATTTCGATGATAAAGACAATTCCTCTGAAATTTGGAGATCAACTCAAAAGTAAATAAGTCAATTCGAAACACATTTTAAAACTTATTAAATTTTCAAATAAAACTTAAATAGCCTACTATTCAACTCATTTAGAATCCTAGTTTATTATTATTGTTATTGTTATTGTTATTATTATAGTAGAAAAACAATATGGGTAAATTACACTGACACCCTAGAGATTTAGTCTAATTACATTCTACCCCCTAACATTTTAGAAATTACATTATCATCCATGTAGTTAATAGTCTCATTTCACAAACCCTTTGCTTATATAAAAGGCAACAACTTCTAGTAGAAAAACAAAAAACATTACATTGGAAAAAAAAAAAAAGTAAAACAAAGGAAATGAAAAAAAAATAAAGTAAAATAAAGTAAGAAAAAAGAGAGTACATGAGTTTAATATTTTCATTCCGTCTAAATAATTATAATAACATGAGAATTAATATAATTTTTCAAATATTAAAAGGTAATATGTATTAAATTCAAATCTCAAGAGTGTAAGTGTAATTTACCCAAAACAATATGGTTGATTGTAGAGTACATGTTAGGTGCAGGTAGGGAATGTCAGTCTTGAGCGTCCAATGCGGCAGAACACAATGAATGATAGTGTATGAATATACATGCGTAATGCTAGGCCTATAGGATTTTCCAATATACTTTGTTATAATATATAGATACACATACATATAGAAACATCTAAAAAAATATTTAAAAATCAAATATGCAAATCAAATTTATACTACATAAATTTAAGTTTACACTATATACTATTTTAAAAATATTTTTGGGTACGTAACTTTTCTGTTATCAAGCCTTCACCCATCACTGTCTCTCTCTCTTGTATTCGAATCAAGCATGAGGAGAAATTTAAAAATAAAATAAAAAAATGAACAAAAAAGACACTAAATTTTTTGTCACTATTCTCTCGTCTTTCCCTTCCACAAATCCTTCTCAAATCTTAAATCCAAACACAATACTAAATTCGCAACAACTCTAATGCTATGTTTAGTTAGGAGATTTGAGAAGAAATTTGAAAATAGAACGAGAAAATATGTGTGAAATTAGGTAAAACGTAAGTACATTTTATTCGCATATCACCTACTTTTTCTCTTTTCCTTTTCAAATCCCTTCTCAAATCCCCCAACCAAATACAATATTAGACTTTCTTCTTCTATTCTATTGCTTCACAGTTTACAATACACACACTCACTCATGGAAGGCATTTTCTAGTCTCCAGTTCGACTTCCCATCTCTTCCTCTCTCTCAATAACTCTTGACTTCATCCTCTATTCCTTTACCCCACACACACTCCTAGGAGGCTTTTCTAGTCTCCAACTTCACTTCCCATCTCTTTTCCTCTCTAAATCTCACCTCACAATCCTGCTCTCTTCAACATCCACTCTGATCCAAGAAAAAAGCTTTCTAGAGAGAGAAAAATGGGAGCTGAAACTTGCCAAGAAAGCAGCCACATCAACATCTCCATACAAAGTACAAGCTCAAAATGCTAGTGTCTGTCATACTCACCAACCTCCTCACTATCTACATCTTCACTGGCCCTTCCTTCAACCTCCATCCAATCTCCAAATGTTGGAACAAATGGTCTTGAATTCTTCAAATGATGGTCTTCAAGTCTTCAAAATTTGGCAATAATCTTGTCTATATAGAACAGAAAATTAGTGCTTCAAGTCGTATTACTAAGTCGATTTCCTAAAGAAAATATTTGTACCCACTAAAAGGTGTGCAGGGGGTTACAACAAATTTGCCTCTAGGATATAATGAAGCCTGATCTAAAGATCTAGTCTATCGGC